ATCGGTTGCGAGGACTCATTCGAATACGAATTTGGGCAGTGAGCCGGAACATGGCACAACAACATTTGAAGCTTCCGCATTCGGCCAACTTATCTCGATGCTCAATTGGTCTGTGATCAAACGAAGCAGTCAGTTGACAGATAAATTACTGCGACTCCTGTCTTTGATCTCCATCGGCTTGACGGAAGTAAATCCCTTTCGGCGGCAAGAAGGTGCTGCAAAGAACAAGAAGACGGAACTCAATAAGGATCAAAGCGTCGCCGCACCAGAAGGACACCTCAAGTTGGCTGTGCAGGTTTTGACTAGTAAAAGTTGTTCCGAGGATGGACTTGAGGATGCAACTGCGCTATTACTTAACTTATCTCATTGCCCTGATCCCACTAGACAATTGGTATGTATTCATATTAATGTAAATGGCGTTAATGTATTAATAATAATATGAAAATGTTAATATATTTTTCTTTCTACTTACGTCTTTCTCTAGATATTAAAATTACTTCTGGAAGGTGCAATGGAATTGGCAAATATGGTATGCGAACATATCAATGATTTGATGATGGAATTAAAAGTTCTAAATCGTGAATTAAGTCGAAGAAATTCCTTGGAGGACCAACCATCAACCAGTAGTGGAAATGGACGAGGAATTTTATTAGATAGGTAAATATACTTATAACACGCAATTAAATATCAAAGCGTACTAAATCCATACACTTTGCGTTTTCGAGAGACAAGATATTTATTATTTAGTTATGAAAAAGTTTTCTTTTCAGATTTACTAATGAAAATGTAGTCGTCACAGCACCGAGTAAAGTCAAAGCCGGAAGTGACCTTCAATTACCATCGATGGCTGCTCTTGTCAGTAAAACTTCTAGTCAGGCATTCTTTTTGAGAATACTTAAAGTTATTGTGCAAATAAGGGAAGCTGTCCGCTTAGCAAACACCAAGAAAACAAGTATGCATACGACGTTATTATAATTTTATCTTGCGATAAATTTTTAATGTTTTATTATTTATGTTATATTTTCAATATTTACAAATTAATTCTTTTTTAAGCTAATCAAACAACAGAGACAGCCATGGATACAGGCACAACAAGTAATGCGCCAGAGACAGGTACTTTTATACTTCTGACTTTCTTATTTCTATAATTTGTCTTTAACATTTATATTGAAAATAATATATTTTGTTATAGCTGCCGACAACAATGCGGACACCGATGTTCCTATGGATACAACGCAAGCAAATGCTTTGATTCTTGATAATACAAAGACATCCTCTTCTCGCAATGGTAAATTAGGGATATTAATTATTATTGTATAGTATTTATATAGTTTTTCTGTAGTATTTATATCTGTTTTTTCCTGTTTTTTTAGATGAAGAGAAAACTGCACTTCCATTGCTGAGTGAGAGTTTAGTATTAGATAACTTATGGGAAACCCTTAGCGCTTGCTTACTCGAATTAGAATATACTCCTGATCATCATGCCGTCCTTGTTTTACAGGTAAAGGATTTGAATTTATTATCTTAGCAGACTGTTATAGAAGAATGTTATCATTGAATTATTATATTGTTATTAATCATTACCATCATTTGCGGTATAAACATATATACATATGTATCTAACATTGCAGCCAGCGGTAGAAGCGTTCTTCTTGGTGCACTCGTCTTCAAGTACGTCTCGAGATCGAGACAGTCGTCTTAACGCGACTAGCGAGAATCGAGAAGTGGTACCAGACTTAGCACCAGTCTCTCCGATATATTCGGACAATGAAGGTACTTCTCAATCGGAAGCTCCCGCCAATGCTTCCTGGGATATCACACCAACCCCGCAGAAAACATTGCCACCGGATCAATTAAAGTTCCTCAAATTTGCCGGTACGTATTAACTAACGATGAATAAAAGCCACAGTTGCTATTGTCAATTTAACGTAATATGTATCTTATTCGTACAGAAACGCACAGAACTGTGCTCAACCAAATTCTACGACAAACGACTACACACTTAGCAGACGGACCATTTTCTGTACTGGTGGATCACACAAGAGTGTTAGACTTCGACGTGAAGAGACGTTACTTCAGAACGGAATTAGAACGAATGGACGAAGGTATACGTAGGGAAGAATTGGCAGTCCACGTTCGTAGGAGTCACGTTTTCGAAGATTCATTTAGGGAGCTTCATCGAAGAAATGCCGATGAATGGAAAAATCGCTTTTACATCGTCTTCGAAGGTACATATTTCTAATATTTATCCTGATAAGCTTGCTTAAACTTCATAAATCTCGATACTAAGATTTATTTTTTTAATTCTAAAAGGCGAGGAAGGACAAGACGCGGGAGGATTGTTGCGGGAGTGGTATGTCATTATCTCGAGAGAGATCTTCAACCCGATGTACGCCCTGTTTACTGTCAGTCCTGGCGATCGAGTAACATACATGATAAATTCATCTTCGCATTGTAATCCTAATCATTTATGTTACTATAAATTTGTGGGTCGAGTAATTGGTAAGTATTTGATTTATTTTTCAACGAAGACATTAGATTAAAAGACGTTTTTACTATATGTTCTGATACACGTTATTTCTTTGCAGCTAAGGCTATTTATGACAACAAATTGTTAGAGTGCTACTTCACGCGTAGTTTCTACAAACATATACTTGGCATACTCGTGAAACATACCGATATGGAAAGCGAAGATTATAGTTTTTACAAAGGACTTGTTTATCTTACGGAACATACTATTTCTGATTTGGGCTATGAATTAACGTTCTCCACAGAGGTAAGAACAATTATTTCAGTGTAATTTTCGGCTTTATATTTTGGTTATTAAACATATACGTTGGTTATAGGTGAACGAATTTGGCGTCAATGACGTTCGAGATTTAATACCAAATGGACGTAATATAGTTGTTACAGAAGAGACCAAACTTGAATATATTAGGCTCGTATGTCAAATGAAGATGACTGGAGCAATTCGTAAACAGTAAGTGAATTTAAAGTTTTAAAATCGAATAGAAGAATATTATTTGCTTGCTTTAACTACTTGTTTAATTACTTTCTTATTTGTATATTTTAAATCTTCCTTTACAGGTTAAACGCATTCTTGGAAGGCTTTTATGATATTATACCTAAACGACTGATCTCCATATTTAATGAACAAGAACTTGAATTATTAATCAGCGGCTTGCCTAATGTAGATATCGAAGACCTTAAAGCGAATACAGAGTATCATAAATACACCGCTACATCTTTACAGGTATATTTCGGTATTTTGTACTTTATCTTATATTTGAAAGAATTGTATTGTTTCATGTTTTGTCGTTTTTTTTCTTTTTAAACAGATTCAGTGGTTCTGGCGTGCATTACGAGGTTTTGATCAAGCAGATCGTGCGAAGTTCTTACAATTCGTTACTGGTACGTCCAAAGTGCCGCTACAAGGTTTCGCCGCGTTAGAAGGCATGAACGGCGTACAAAAGTTCCAAATTCACAGAGAGGACAGGTCAACAGACAGGCTTCCATCTGCCCATACTTGGTAATTATATGAAAAGAAATTTTGTTTTACATTTTTTTCGCAAACATGCGTTCAAGCTAAAGTTCGATCGACAAAATAACGCGAAATTACGCTAAAATTGTATTCTCTTATTGCAGTTTCAATCAACTGGATCTGCCAGTGTATGAGACATATGATAAACTACGTACAAATCTACTCAAGGCGATTCACGAATGCAGCGAAGGATTTGGCTTTGCATAAGTTTGCCGGAACGCCATTGTCATAACATTGTAGCAGTTTATCGTACATGTATTGTCCTGCCTGTTCAGAGTAAACAACAGAGTTACAAGAACTCGCTCCTGTATAATTACGCGTTCATGCGTTCATGCGTCCAATCGGTGACGATCTGATGACACGCTTGGTCTTCATTCAAGATCTAATTGAAAACTCGTTTAATTCGATATATACATATAGATGCACGAATATGTATATACATATAATTAATGCTGATGTAATTACGTGAGAATAATTGTCAATGATACCCGAAGCTAGGGTTTATTTTGTTGAAGATCTTGGAAGAAGATGCTGAGCTTAACGATAATTCCCAACAAGGAATGATAAGGAGAGATTAGTTCGGTTTTATGATAAGGATAAGCTAAAGATAAGATTCACACATAATTGTAATAGTTAGATACTTTAGTTTGTCATAAGAAGTAATATAGGATGAAAAAGAAATGTAATATACTGCACTTTGAAGTCAGCGATATGTTTTAACCGGTTCGATAGTTTGAATAGAGAATACAGCGGTGGTAACGGTAGCCTGGTTCTTTACCAGAAAAGAAGCAGCAAAAGTATAAGTGGACGAGTGTTTGTGCGAATGAAAGAGAGAGAAAGTGATAAAAGTGTGAGTGAATGAGAGCGAGAGAGAGAAAGGGAGAAAACGCGAGAGAGAATTTAATCGAAAGATAACTGAGCCTAATTAAAAGATTTCACAATACGAATGCTGTCCTTCCCTAAAAACTGTATGGTTGTACACACTATTAGTATTAATAATTATAACTAATTCTTAATTAATAGTAATGATCATTAAATATCATTTTAATATTAATCATTCGAAATGTGATGTTAAACAAGTGTAATTTCTTTTTCTTGAGATCTAACGAAATAAAGTTTACAGTTGAACAGACGTTACTTCATGAACACATCGAACAGAACAATATTAGTGAAACATCGCACAGGCACCGTTATTAGTTAGTTTCGGAACTCCTTACGAAATTGTTAGGGAATTATTGATTAGGGATCGCAGAATAAAGTAAATGTTGTATTTCTTATATAAAAAAAAAGTTGCATTCTTTTGTTATTGCACAGAGTCCTTAATTGCTAACTTCCGAGTTTCCTGAGTAGACAAGTATCGATAATCCTGCGTATTATTACAACTTTTAGTCTCCCTTTAAAAGATAGCTTAACTTTATGTATTACCGAATAAATTATTGTTCGATTAACTACATGAGAATTAATGTATGTAACATGAAAATATATATTTCATATTTACAAAGTTGTATAAGTGTAATAATCCATATTAGCAATCAGAGCACTGATTTTCGTGTTCAGGAGATAATTCGTTACATAACACTGCACATAACAATTTTTGTAAGTACGTCAAAATTTTCACGAGCAATATGCCATTGCATTGTACGTCCGGAATGTTATCACTGGCTGCAAAGGCCCATCCACAAGTGGAAGCAACAAGCGTCGACAAAACCTTCGACTAGGGCATAGACGTCTTCCATGTTAATCGGCACGTTAATCTCTGTGGACTTCCGATAAACGGCGCATAAATCCTAAAACAAATGTTAATTTTAATTTTTTTTGTGACGACTTTGTTTTACATTTCAAATCTCGCATTCGCGTTCTACTCACTCCTCTCGATGTGTGCATATCGATGGTCAACATCATGAACGCTTGAAGGAGAGTCGGATGCAGTATGAGATGATGAGTGATATTCCCGTCAGAGGTAATAAATTGCTTGTGGTGCTCTTGATATTTATTTTGCAACACCTTGGACAATGCTTGATACCACGAAACTGGCTGATTAACAAGAGGACCAAGTCTAGGGTCCAGGTTCACAAGGGGTTCGATGTGGGCTAACGAGCAGAGCTCCCTGAACTCGGTGTATGTCATCGAGGTTTTGTTCTCCAATAATTTGTCCCAAAGTAAATGCGTCCGACACTGCAATGCGCCGCGCTCCACCATGTTCGTTATATGCTGACGCGCAGCTTTCGCCTGGGCCATAATCATCTGTTGCATGAGCTGTTCGTGCGACGAGTAGTAGCCCAGATAATTCACCGATTCCTGGCGAATTTGCACTAAATGCGGCGACGATGACGACGACGCGTTTGAGACTGCACTTGGGATGTTGGAGTTTTGCGTTAGGGGGGAGTTTGGAACCGGTGGAGGCGTTGGCGCCGAACTGTTTTGAACATTATAGCTCGCTGTTTTAACATCGGCATCTTTAGCAGTCACATCGCACGAGAAATCGAGACTCTTCTCCTGCTGATCGGTACTTGATAGCTCCGTCCTGAAATTGCCTCTCACAAACGACGGTGTAGGCGAGACGGAACTGGATTCCACCGGGCTCTCCGTATACGAGCTGTTGGCGGGTTTTCCAACGCTGTACACGGTCCTAAATTTGCCTAGTTTGTTGTTCTCTACTTCCCTTTTTGGATATAATTCCCTCTTGCTTGTCAACATCAGATAATATTTCAAAGTGATTTCAGTCCTCTCGATTTGCGGTGACTGTTCCATGCGCGACACGATTAGCGCTACGTCGAAGTCGTCCGTGCACTTTGTATCGTGAGCGTCGCAATAACTGACTGAGGGAGTACTTTGCAATTTAATTAAGACATATTCATTATCATGAGATTCCTGGAGCTCGCCGGACATCACGAACACACGCATGCCGTACACTTTCTCGTGTGAAAGCAAATAGGAGTACAACGTACGTGCAGGTATCGCTATATCGCGTATTGTTATCACGTCTGAAACAACAATGTCAAATGTACACCATATTACGAAATAAACGAACGCGATCCGAACCACCGAGATGTGTTCTTGAAGCTTACCGCTGTATATTAGATTTCTGGCATAATTCGGCGCCTTGCTGTAATATTTGATGAAGTCATCCATAAAGTGAGTGAGGTGGTAACCTTGTTGCAAAGACCACAATCCAGTTCCAGCGATGTAAGAGTGAATACAACGCAAGTGAAAATCATACGTGAACGAATGCAGATGCATGTTGATTTGAATCTTGTCGCAAACATCCACGAAGCTTAGTACAAACTGTAACAAATCCATTCGTAAACTCTCCCATACATATATAGTATATACACAATACGCATGCAAATGCAATTCGAATTTATCTTACTTGGTTCATCATACCGCTACTCGTCTTCGTTTGCAAGCGATTGCATTCAATAATATGTAACTTTACGCAGAAGAACGGCTGTGACAGGTGAACTTCGAACAACAAAATACCGCCCAGCATGGACTTCTTGAGATAGTAATACTGCTGCTGCGCGTGCTCCTCGTCCCTATAAAAAAAAAAACGCAATGCACATATAGAAATACGCATGTTTACTACATCAAAATCTAATAATGCAGAATTCGAACAAACGTTTTATGTGGTGACTCCACTTGGATCGGATTGAAGCCCAGAATCTGCAGATACTGTTTATATTCGGACAACATTGACTTGCAGAGCTCTTGATGCCATTTTATCATAATCGCGTTCGTAATCGCTTCCTGTTTCGACTGAGCTGCTTGAGACGATTCATTCACGTTGCCGTTCAAGCCGAAGTGAGACGGCTGCGGCGGTGTCAATGAATGATCCCTCGTAGCGGCAGACTGCAAACGCCAGGCCGGTAAAAAGAGGAGGGGTGTGTGGCAGAAGTGTATCAAACGAGAATGTTGCTTGAATGTGTTCAAAGCATTCAGCGATATCGGTATGTTGGACGTGCGGCTCTGCCACATTGCATACAACTTCTCCAGATCCTCTACAAAGATACATTCACGTTATGTTACAGTAATCATTGCGGTACACGCAAGTTTGGTGATCAACCGTTACCTTTGATCCTCTTGTCTCGATGCCGTAGATCCTGCAAGTCGTAGGCAGCCTTTACGATCGCATCCGTCGTGTTATGAGGATGCGGAGCGCTCGGTTTCGCATCGCGCATTGCCTGCCCGACCACTTGAAGCCACGAAAACGCGTTGTTCTTCATCGACGGCGCTCGGTTGCTCGATCGCGTCCAGTCTTTATCTTGATTTGAATGGCCAGGAAATTTCGCTAGACTTTCCATATCGTTGATTTGATAATATTGAGAACCGTGCTCTCTCTGCTGAGGTTCCCGAGTGAGCTTGTGATGAAATATACCCAACTTTTGCATAATTATGCTGGTAAATAGACTCGATCTAGAGGAAAGCCATGTACCTAAGCTTGTCGTTTGTTTGATCAATTTTTCGGATTTTTCCTTGGACCAGTTATACATATAAATGATTATCTAAAAATATAATATAAAATTTAAATATTCAATATGATTCGTGAATGTTTGATAACTATGTGCCACATAATGAACACTAACGTTGTCACTTAGTATTTCAGCTAACAATATCCTTTGTCTAGGCACAAAATTCGATTCTGATATCAGGGGATTAAATTTTTGCAATTGTTTTTGATCTGTAACATCAAATATAAAAGAATTAATAATGAGATAGATATGTGAGACTTAAGTTAACGATTTGTTAAACTTAACTGACCCTTAGGAGCAAGCAGTTCCGGATCTATTTCTTTACTCAAAGATGCCTTCCATTGATGAAAGTTTCTTGCGACTAAAATGCACTTGATGTAAGTAGTTTGCTCATCTTTATTAAATTCGTGCGGCACGTACACGGGTGAATTTGCGCTTTCTTGATCCGTATTTTCCGCTAACGATTGATCGGAACTGTTCCGGATGCTGTCAGACCACTTAGGTGCAGATCCAGCTTTATGCGAAACAACAAATTGATTTAGGAACGGTTGTCGATCTTGCAAAACGAAAACTTTACTGGACGTGTCTGGATCTTGACTACGTATGAGATTCTGCAATTCTCTCACGATCACGGGAATCGCATGTCTGTGGTGAATGATCACTTCGTGCTTTTTCACGGCAGGGACACCCATTTCTAGTGCAAACTGAAACCAGCGTGCCAGTGTAGTATGATAAATCTCATTCAATTTTCCTTTCTCGCCGAGCTCGTACTGATTAATCGTTAAATTGTCGGAAACTTGTGACGTCTTTACAGGTGTTTGGACTTCTTTGTTTTCCGTTGCAGTTTCTCCAACCGCTGAAGGATTAATAGCTGGCTCCGTCAAAGGAGTCGCTAGAAGATTATATTCCGTGACTAAGTCCCAGGTACCATGTTTGACCGCGGATGACAATTTCAGAATTAAGGATTCCAAGTTTACTCTGCCTTGCTTCCAGATTCGAAATTCGATCAACATCTGCGCGTTTGGTTTAGAATCACTTTTATGGTCGTAAACGTTGGTTGATACGATGCTCTCGAAATTCTCGACCCTTAACAACTTAGGAAAACTCGACTCGTTCGAACCATTCGGATACGCTGGGGGTTCTCCTTTGCCATCGGTGATCGCTAACGCGATACAAGCTATACCTTTGCTACCACTCGAGTGACTCTGGTTGTATAAGAAAATATCGGATTCGGATACTCTCTTTCTAGTACCATCTAACGGAGTGTAATCCTGAAAATGATAGTGAGCTCCGAGATCCGTATATTTTGGCATGTACAAGAATTGTAGTATATTTTGCCTCAAGTAATATCCTAAGGCATCCATATACCGTAAGCAGTGTGATTGCACCGATAGTTGCACTATACACTCGGGAGACTTGTATGGTTTTTGTATGAAGTGCACGTCCGCCGGTGTCAGCTTGCACATTGGATTACGTGCCAACATCACAGATAGTACTTCCAGTACCGCGTCATCGAGACGATTTTGCAATACCTGCACTAAATCTCGTTTGACTTCCGGACCAGCTTCCGATATCCCATGTACCATCAGGATAATCGAATCGCCAGTTCTATTCAAGATATCAGATTCTTTTTCGCCAAACGAGCGAACTCTAGGTCTTGTGTCGTTCGCTAGCGCATGATCGTTCACCAGGCCGGTGCTCTTAGCCTGCGATAAGGATGCTACGCTGTTGCTTCGCGAGACAACTAATTTCTCATCGCTCTCGGACAATTTATTCTGCAAAGGTTTAATATCGTTCGTCTGCTCGTGAAGCCGCAGGTAAAATACATTCTCGTTATTCTCTTGATATACGAACATATTATTTCGATTATTAACTGAGAGTCTGTTAAGTACGCCGTGCAACGCTTTGATCCCTCTCGATAACCCGGATCTTCCAGGCCCGGTCTTTAAGCGGGGATGTAAATTGAAGGGTTCTTCCCAAATGACAGGACATCTGAACATGCCTGGTGTAACATTTGAAGTTGAAGAATTGTGATTCTGAAAAGGATTTCCCAATTCACTGCCAGTTTCTCTCCAAGCATTATAATCTTCAGTGGATTCTGGTTCCAACAGTCGATCGCATATGCGAGTATCGTGAAGATTTTGCAAAAGTAAATATTGATTTACTCGCCGGCATATAGCTTTAATTTGAACAAGCAGCATTTTCTGTATTTGCGAATAACTATCCACTTCTGGCGAAGAAAGTTCCAAAAATCTATATAATAAAATCGTGATGTTACAAATTTTTTTCTTGCTTATTATACGTATGCAGCTGTTGCTGCACGAATAAAGCAACAAATTTTTTATTTACCAACCTGCAGTGAAAATAGACATTAACATGACTACCTTCAACACTCATAATTAGCCAGAAATTGGGTAAACTATCTCTGCGTTTATCAAGTTCTATCAACCACTGATAATCATCCTCGGAATTACTGCTATCGCCTTCATATCCGTCATCCGTCCCGTGTTTCCCTTCAGCTATACTTGATATCTCAGAATAATAACCTGGAGCATCTCCAGAATCTTGCCCGTTTATTTGAATTGTAGTAGCAGGAATTTCTTCTTGCTCCACATTTTCAATGCTTTCGTCTGTAATTAAATTTTAATAAATAAAAATCTCTAGAAAGATGAATATTGTTTGAAATATTTAGTATAATTTTAGTATAATTTCGGAATATCTAGTATAATTTTTTAAGGGATGGTATATTGTTAATGTCTTCTTAAAAAAGACATACTTTGTATTATAATTGTTTAATAAATTTCAAATAATATAAGATTATTTACCATCCTTTAATGGTTGTTCTTCTACGTCTATGTGTAATGTGTCTGGTTCTATATCAGGTACTATTATTTCCGGTTTCTTAACGAAGTAAAACAAATCGGCTTCTTGGCAAATGCAGTACTTGTCAATCTCAAGATGTTTCAATTCCTTCAAAAATTTGGGCGAGCTGCTTTCAGATGGGAAAACAAAATGTAAAGGTACTTTATCCATCGAGCAACTGGATCTGTCGGTGGATTCCGATACGTGCTGTGCTATAAACTTTAATGTGTCAGCATTCGGTGAAGGATGATCCAGAAGTGCCGTTGCGGTTTCGTCTCGTAATAGCCACTCAATCTCATCCCTTAAGCTGATTACCGCATGATGCTGAGGCAGTTGCGGCATTCTTTCCTGCATCGATTCAGTCTTCGCATTTGCACCCGGACTGCTACCGCTCGGCATGCTACCGAACGTCGAAGCGCTGCAGTAAGACGTCGTCCTCAATGCAGGATAACGTTCCAACGACACTTCCAACACTTCTTTTGGAAGGTTCAAACATATGATATCCAAAGTAACTTTCAGATCCTCCAAACTTAATTCAGTAAGATTTCTTTCCTTGCCGTCATTAATCCTTTGGACAATCTCGGTAAAGCAAGTAGGCATCAATTTAACAGGTATACTGGAAAGCTCGGAGCGGAAACGAATCGAAGAGCTCAAATGTAAGAAGAGCGGCTGATCTTTCATGTTCCACGTGTTTTCCTCATCAAAATCGCTGATAAGCGAATCTTTTGAGTTGGAATGGGACAGCTTCTCGTTGTTATGAAGATTTGTGACCGGCCATGTAATATTGACAGCTTGACTTACTGGCAAGCAATAATATATAAATGTATTTAATAGGTATTATATAATATAATCAAAATTTCTATCTTTGGGACATATAATGAAATATATTTTGATTATCTACCTTGGTTAGGAGAATCTGTTTTTGAAGCCGGCATTTCAGAGTGACATGTGAATTCATCTAACTCGTCATCGCTATCTGTTCTTTGTGATACCACTTCCTAAAAATAACATGATCTTTGTAAAATAACGAATTATCATTATTATAATAATACAAAGTATACACAAAGATGCGGACCATCTTTTCTGACATCCACGATGGTAAACAGTAATAAAATTCTGGATGCGCAGGTACAGGCCTAAATGCGACTGCCATAATCCTTTTAAATTTAGTTTTTATCAAACTATGTAATGGTTTAACATCGTTGCACGCGGAGATTTTTAATTGATTCAGTAGATCGCCTTCTGCCAACATGCTCAAATGTCTGCACACCGATCGTAAGTAATTTGTAATATTAATTTCTATCAGATTTTCTTCGCATTGTGCCACAGCAGCCTCCATATCTTCGTAGCTCAATGACTGTTGCAGTGCAAGTGACTTATAAACCGCGACCACGTAGCAATGACAATGTGCTAAGCTCAACAACTTGCAATGCTCCATCAAACTTCGTTGATCTACCACAGAAAAATCAATCTTGTTAAAAACATTTAATTGCTAACATCAATTTTAATAGCGTAGTAAGGAAATGTCAATGATTATTCTTTAAAATATTAATCTTTTTACATCATTAACGTTATTATCTCAAAAATATGTATTTGCCTACCGCTAGAAATATTGTCAGAATCTTCGCTCTTTGGTTCTGGAGATGAAGGCTTTGTGTTACTTTCCGATTTGAGACTGATGAAATCTTCGGAAATTTGCTCTCCGATCTTAAAAGTATGATCCTGATAGATATCTTTATTCTGAGGTGTTTGCAATTGACCGACCAGCGCATCAATTAATAATGCTAGCGAACAATCATACACGTATACAGGTATAACAAGACTGCCCTCATTGTCAACATTATCAAAATTATGGTCTACATTAGCTTTCGATGTGCTATTTGCAGTGGTAGATTGACTAGAAATTTTTGACTCTCTGCGTTCCAATGTCACAAAGTCAGGTACATTCTCTGCACACATTGTTGGAGACGATACCTTTTCGTTCATATCGAGATCGAAAATATCAGAATCGCAATTCTTTTCGGAATTGTTACTTGTGCAGTTATCACCTGTGTACATTATCAGGCGGACATCTTTTTCAGTTGCTGGTAATATTGTGATAATGACATGTGTCGTGCTAATTCCTTTGACAAAACACTTCCACCTCGGATAAATGTCTGACGTGTCATCTCTACAATTTTTCTCTAAAATAAACGTTATACAATATAGAATCATTTAAAAAAGCTGTGGAATATTATATCTTCGTAAAAAAATACAAAGAAATGCAAATAATAACGTGAAGTATTTATTAATTTCGTAGTATGATAATTAAAGAGTCTAATATACATATATATCTATAGTACCTTTTTGTATAAAGAAAGGTAACGGTGGAATATTCTCGCGTGGTCTGTTAAGAAGCATTTTAGTGAACCTTTGTGATTCTGCTGACGTAAGCAGTAGTTCTTTATTGTGCAATTGTTTCATATGTTCCAAGAAGTTTCCCATAAAAATCCTATTTGCACTATCCCTATCTTCATCGATATGTACGGAATCTAATAAAATAAGATCAATTACTTATTTTTGTATCCTTTTTCTATTCATTGTTAAAAAAAATAAGTCCCTAACCATCGGCGAACATCGAGAACAAGAGTTCCGCCTGCTGACATTTTGATAAAATGCTCAGAGTATCAAACGAGAAGTACATGGAATGTATCCTCTCGTCGATGATCGGCGTCGGTTCGAAGGGCTCGGTTGGGTTTGGACATTCTGAGATACGATCCGTAGACGTGCCCACAGCACCGTGATATTTAACTCCTTGGTGTGCTTGTCCGAACACAATCTCGGTATCTTTTTCCGCCGGTGTTACTTGGCACAAGAGGCTCAAGTATTCTAAGGTCAATAGAGCGTTAATACATTCCTCGTCTATTCGGGCAATCTAATAGGACAAAAGTGATAGTACATAGGATTTACAAAAACAATTTTAATAATTACATGCGATATAAATACAAATAAACTTGTGTGTATAAATAAACATTCTGAAAAACTTTTGTGCTGGATGTATAATAGTTATTACACATTATTAACACTTCTTTCCCCTTCCCCCACTCTCTCTCTCTCTCTCTCTCTCTCTCTCTCTTTCTCTCTCTACATATATATAATAACAAAATATATATTTATATTTATATATTTATAAAGGAATATAGGAAGTATGAATATAAGAGGAGAAAGGATGGCATGATAACTATAATATTTTTTACACCCGTCTTAAAACCTAGTGCAAATTAAAAATATAAAACTCATCATAATAATTTTTGGATCTTAAATTTATCGAGCACACATACTTAAGTATTAACAATCAAGTACAATTACACGAGAAACAAAATTCGTGAACTAATTATAATCCATCTGCCAACAGCACTCAGTCGCTCAGCGATTAACAGATAATCATATTGAAGTTCGCGTAGATAAGTATCCTCAAGCAGGTGACCAGGTCGCAATTGCACAGGATCAAATGTCGATTCCGACGATCACGGGGGATCAGGAATAAGTTGGAGGAGTTGAATCTCACTTTAATACAAAGCGCAGAGACCACTTCTCCACTTGAACCGTGACACCCGCTATCCACCAACGCATCTCGGGGATGATCGATTTTGGGGCGTGAAAGATTTCACCAGGAGAAACAACACTTTGGGCTACGACTGCGAGACGACGTCAAGCCGCGCAACCCTGAGCTGGAAGAGTTAGATCTGACAAGTTATCAAGACCTACTGGTCGCTCACTGCCTAGATCCTCACTTCCAACTGAGAGTCACGCGAATACGAGGATTTCGAAGAGAACACGAAGAGCGGAGGCGGACGACGATAGAAGATGCGATTCGCGTGCCTATCCCAGAGGCGGTCGACTATGTTCTCTGGTCTTAATCTCGTGCGGAGTCACCTGATGATAACGAGACAAAGACTTTATTCCCGCGAGGTTCTTCGCGGGCGCACAGGCAAGCGGAAATCCAGTCGGGTCATCTTCTCGGGAGAGGACTACATAAATTCGTCATCGAACCTGGACGATCGAGCCCGTGGGCTCAAGGACGACGTCGCGCGAAGACCATGCTACGACTTGGCCGCATGACGGAAACCATGATCACTTCTAATCTGCGCGCGAAACGTGATAAAAAAAAGAGTCGTCACTTGGGATTCGGTGATAAGAGACTTCGGGAGCACGTAGAGTATTATGCAGAGGTAACCGGACAGTGTGCGGCGTTGTAAAATTGCACGAAAAAGATAATCCGATCACTAGTGAGCGCAGGGCGCGTATTGGGCCCTATATATACCTGAGCCGACTGATAGGAAAACCTCGTTCCGAGGACCCTCATCGATATCGAAGCCACACCCCGATAACGATAACGACATGTAGCGATAGACACTTTTACGTTCCCCATTCTCCATTTCACAGGCCGTTCTCGGTTTCACGGGCCGGAAACGCGAGCCAAAAATGAGACTTTGCGCCTTTCGAGATTACAAAGCGCTTCTCCTCGTCGCGCACCTTCCTGAGAGACGCATGTGAAAAAAGTCCAGGCGTAATAATAGGGTGATCATCGTATTCGAGTTTCATTCTCCTTTCAACAGGAGAGACGATATGAATTGAAGATAGAAAAAAGAAAATTATGTAGAGGAATTACACTTGCCTAAGCGGATGCGTCCTTGTGTGAAACGCGCTTAGATAAATGTTTGCGTTATTCGTGATGTGACGATAACGACTTCTGATGACTGACACTGTTCCACCGTTAGCTTCGACTTCCAGTTCCGATGGGGAAAGATAATCGGAAAAGGCCTATCCACGCGCGAGGTCCTTTCCCGTACACGATTATCGGGCATGACCCTTAGATCCGTCGAAAAGATCTATGCGAGAACTTCGAAATTCAGAGAGCCGCGCCTTTTACGCAACGTTAAATTCAATTCGTAAAACGAGTGTTGGCGTTCATTTTAATTTCAATTCGACCCGATTAATTATAATGCGAACGTTAAAACGCACATAATTTGCAAAGTCAATGAATGTGCTGAGGACACATATTTACGCATTCTCGAGTTGGTTAACAAGTAAAGACTACGCTTTTTTTTTAAGAATTCTCTTGAAAGAATAAAATCATTAATCAACTAGATTATATTATTTATAAGAATAAAATATAATATAATGTATCAGTGTCGGCGTATTTTGAAGTTTGGTCTCCTGATTAGCAACGTTCTCCAGGTAACGAGTGAACCAGATAACAGTTATCTAGTTAACGTGAACTTATGCTAGAATTATATTCGTATTACACAAAAATATGTTACAAATTTCAATTATCGAGCACATTTATAAAAATAGTGATTTCCCGTTTCTCTGCTGAGCTTTATAAGAATTAAAATAATTAATCTATGGTAATTTCCAAAAGATTCAATAATATAAATTAATAAACCGTACTTTAAACAGCTGTTTCGTTATCTATCGATAACATTATTTATGTCAAAAATGCGCGCATTATTTAATTTTTAATAAATCTTAACGCTAAAAGTAGACGAATCGAGAAAAATTACTTAAAAAAATTACAAAAATTAATATAATTACATTAAAAAATTACAAAAATTGGCATAAAATGTTAAATCTCCCTTTTCTTTTGAATTCATGCGTGGAAAAAGTTGCAATCAAATCGTATTGCGACGATAGAAAGTATAAGTATCTTTATCCTTATCATCCTTCATCGTCAAATGACAGTGCATACATGGATTTTATAAGCATCTCTATCAGAATTGGAAGAAAGATAAGATTTAAGATAAAGCTACATTACATGCTATGCCATGAAGTTAAGATATTTACGCGAATCGCGTTCTATTACTGCACTGATTTCAGTTAAATTATTAATTTAATTTCTCTTTTATCTCTTTAGAGCCGTTTGTTTGATAATCATACGTGCATATTTCATCTGTTTTCAATAATCCACTTCTAATAGATATAAAAATTACACAATATTCTACATTTTTTGAGAAATAGTATGACCTGTAGTATAAACTATTCCGACTATTCGTATAGACGTTACGAAATGGAAACGAATGAACTAAGCAATCGTTAAGCAAATAAAAATTCTTTTAGACGCTTCTATTTTTGTAAAAGATAGGAATTAGGCAAGATAGGAGAGAGAGAGGGAGAAAGAGAGAGAGAGAGAACACGTTTCCGCCGAAACTTCGAGAACGCGGATGGGCGTATGGCGTATATGAAATACACATATGTCAAATATGTGCTATAAAACATGACAATTCAAGCTAGAAACGAAGTAGATTAAATAATCCGCTATCGCTGGGCGATATTTACTATTAGATAGATTCAGTGCCCAGCAAAATAAAGCACTTTAGACGACTGTACATCAGAATAATTTTTGTGTTACCACGCGCATTATCAAGTTAGTTCAAGATAAGAAGGATAGGAGTTAATGTCGGAAAGTGATCGTCGGTTTCAGAAACTCGTAAAATCAAGATAGAGTTACCGAGATATGTATTAATCAGTCATATTACCAATCATACGTGATATTTAATATGAATTTCAATAAGTGATTTTGAAGATTGCCAAATAGCTATTTTCCTGTTGCAACAGTCAAGTAAAACAAATATGCACGCTATCAGAATTTTCTTAGAATATTATTTACGATTGTGGATATCGTCAGAGATTACGTGATAACATGTAATTTTTTTTATCAATGATTAATATTGCAATTTTTAATATTTCCACCGCTATATAAATTACGTATATATATTGCACGTATATCGCCAGAAGTATCGAATAAAGATAGCTTATCATTCTCAAGACGTTCAAGGAATTAACCGCGTCTTATCAATTTAAGCAAGCTCATAGATGTGTTACCGTAGAACTTTATTGAAATGGATAGACTAGAAATCCTATATATATAGACATTTTTTATGACTGATTAACTTGTATCAAATGGATCATGAAGATATTATATACGTCTCTAATATCTACGTTCGGAAAGACATTAATAAGTATACTGATCGAATAAAACTATTATTTATTGATGACTCAACATACACACACACATACACACGCAAGACTGAAATTTTTATTAATGTCATGTCTGTACTTACTGCATCTGGTAATTGATGATACTGCAGAGGATGCATATACATAGCAATCGACTGTGTAGGCATTTGCACGTAGCCACATTGGGGTTCGACCCAAACCTCCGTGACAATTTGAAAATCGCTGTACCCTTCGGAATCTTCAGTCCATACTTCCGCCTCGGCGATACCTGACATGTAAAATCATCCGTTTGTTGTACAAATAATCCTCTTATTCGATCGATAAATATCGCTACCTTCTTCCGTGTCATCTTCGGTACCGCTGTCGCGTTCTAATGCTGCGTTCGGCACAACATGTGGTGGGAACAAAACGTACTGAATAATACACGGATAAGAATTCTCATCGTTCCCGAAGCCCTGCATTTGCACTTCTAACACCATGTTTGTGATGCCAGCTGCCGAATACGCGAAATTAAAGCCCTCTCCTAGACGTATTCTGCGAATAAAATAAATATCTTACTGCCCCATTCTTGTAATATCCGTAACATGCCAATGCGAATATATTTACTTCGTAATTGTAGAGAGTATTCTCGCAATCGCAGTAATATTTAATCTCGACAAAGTAATTCCCGGGATGGTCTGAACGAACGGCCGCTTCACGTGCCACAGCCAACGATTGTGGTATAAATATCTGGACAGGGTAGTTGTTAGACTACCACTTAGTAGTCCTAGTGCAACCCTGGTGCAGGTTGGCTGAGTTCCGTCAGGAAATACCACCATACTCAGATTGTTCGGTATACGCTCGTATCTTACGAGAATTCGCTCGAGCGATTTATGTATTATTGTGCAACACGGAATCTCACGTTGCTCCGTCGGTCTATTTGGCAATGTGAGCTTGGATAGTCTGTCAACGAGATCTACAACTACGTTGTGGCGGACGACACCTTCGGTGCCGCCGGCGAACGCTATATTGAGTACGACGCAGAGCGCTTTGCAATTAATGCGAATCAATGAGAATGACACCGGCGGCTTTTCCGCCTCTCTGTATATGAACTGGACGTACGTGTGATTCTCGACTAGCACAAAAGTCGCCCAATTTTTCAACATAGCATATAATACGGCCGCCGCTTGCCGGCTCTGAACGCACTGGAAACGACCGCTCTGATTCGCTTGGTGAAGATGTCTTGGCAACGGTCTGTCGTAGGCTAAAATTAACGTAATCCTTTGAGTGTGCATCCAACGCGCCCACTGAAGCGGATCCAGAGAGACAACCGGTTGCCATATCTGTCCAAACTGTGGGCAGGCGGCGTCACTATAAAATAATAATACATAGTTGTATTAAATTGTAATTTCTATTTATCTTGAATAAATGTGTCATAGCCATATCGTATTAATTGATATTGTTTATACAAGAAAATAAATGTACCTAAGTTGTACTGTACTTGGCGACGGATAAGACGACAAGTAAAACACAGGCATTCCGCTTCTGATGGTGTCTGGTACACTGTACCACGTCCATCCAGATCCCGGAAACCAGCTGAAGTGCGCTAACATATTGTCGCTTTCGGTTAATGATGTTAATGCTGTCCAGAAACGAGAGATGACACCTTGACGATAATGCGAGTTTAACGGTTTTTTCGATAGGCATGTAATGTCGTGTAAAAATTCATATGGCGCTGTAATAAAAGATAATTTTAGTTCAGGCTACGGATAGACGTGTTTATTATGTTACTCTCAACATCTGTAATAATTTATTATCTTTAATCTACCTTCTATGGTAATGGTATATTGTATCACGTTGGATAGAGATAATGATTTTGAAGACCATGGACACGTTACTAAATATTCCAAAAACACATTCGTTTTCCATAATAGCACAAAATTTATTTCAAGAATGTCGTCTCGTACATTGGCTCTTTTTATCAAGTATCCTTCTCTTAGACGACAGCACAGCAGACTGCTTAATGTACAAGTAACTTTGTCGTCGATCTGTTTTTTCTTCAAGAGTTGACCGCTTTTAGGTTCATGGAAGCAATTATTTTCAGTTCGCCAGCAATGACGACCCGATATATCGTTGTTCGATACGTCCCGATATAATTGCCAGCACAAAAAATGCTTATGATAAAGATTTATATCTGTTCCGTGTACAGGTATCTATAGATAAAATAGTTACATTGCAATCAATGTTGCTACAGGTATATTTAGATAAAATAGTTACATTGCAATCAATGTTGCTACAGGTATATTTAGATAAAATAGTTACATTGCAATCAATGTTGCTGCTAGTCAGGCGCAGCGGTATAGATTAGATGTCTACGTACCACGTATGAATTGAAGGACATATAACTACCGAGTGTAGCCGCGGAGATAAAATACAGCAGGTCTTGATATGGCACTAAACCGTCCGCGCAATGTGGATCGTATGCGCTGCCTACGCGTAAAAAACTACATGCGACCGTCGTTGCGCGTAGTTGCTGTATAATGGAATCCAACGTGTGAGCGTTCTTAATTCCGACGATACCATCCGTGACTATTACCATATCTGAAAAAATGTTCCTTTCTCTGTATTCTCCATAATACTATTGCATAGCATACATTAGATAATCGATTAAATATATCATAAATTGCGAACTCACGTGCACAGCTGTGCTCAGGTAAAAGTGTCAAAGCCAGCATCCCGTATCTCAACATATTTACAAAACTAGCTTCCGGCGAAACTATGGAGATATTACAATTATTTTTGTTCAAGCAGTTGCTACTTTCCTCAAAAAGCCTCCCTACCAAACGCTCGCTCTCTGCCCTTAAATTTTCTAACTGCTGATTAGCTATGGCTGTGACAGTCGCTACTCTCTCCTCTAACAGGTACAACTGTTTCTCTACGTATTGTGTGAGAGAATTCACGTTATCCGCAGTGATCAGCCATCCTTGTACTAGTACTTGTTGCGCCGGGCTTGTAAAGAACGGCGTATGAGCTATCACAGTCACATAAATTTCAGGCTGCATCACACGCCTGCTGCCTGGTATCGTAAACTACAAACATACGGTGAATTAAGAATCTTTCTATTTTACATGCATCTGCAACATATCGAGAAAATAATACTTACTGGTCTAGTTATACCTTCAAGACATCGTTTCGTCGCCAGATACACCTCATCAATGACAATCTCACCGCTTTGTACATCCTAAAGAGACATAAAATTTTATTTCTTGACTGACGCCGCTACAAAAATTAGAATATTTGACAACAAAAGTATTAATTTCATAATACTTACAACAGTGGCAAGCGACGGACTTAAATCTAAGCTAAAGACCATCCTATATTTGTGCGCCAGGAATACAATCGATGTCGTCGAAACAACTTTATAAAGGAATTGGTGGCTGGTATCTATAGACCATGCAACAGGCTCATCCTTCGGCAGCACCGATACTACTTCCAGCTCCGGTTCCTCCTTATTCTTTATATTCGGGCATTGTATACTTATCACAGAGTCCAAATGCTCCAGCAGCCATTGAGCTCTCACATTGCGAGAGATGGGAAAGCCCTTCTTCATTAACAGAAAGATAGTTTCTGCTTCTAGCACGGTTCTATCCTGTACAAAGGAAAACTACAGTTAACAAAAGCAGTAATTACTATAATAATTCTGTCGAATGTCACGCTTGTTTTCAGCATTCAGACTGCTTTGAACAACGGGATGAAAAACATTCCGTTAAAAATCGTAATTATCACATTTAATGTGATTAAAATTAAATTAATTATATTACTTGAAAATTGCCGTTAAAACCGTAAGATACATTTTAAAAACTTAAAAATATGCAAGATATGCTTCGTCAAAATTCCACATTGCTGTCATCGTGTCTGCGCTGACAGACATCATTTTTTTTTGTGTAAGTAATTTAATCTGACAGACATCAGTCGCAAGGAGAGGTTATGTCCGCCTGCGTCGTCGAAGAGCGGATCAGCGGATGCGAAAAAAATCGGTTGCGACTTGCGACGCGATCTTACCTCGCTCCTCGCGCTCGCCATGACGAATTTTCCGCCACGTTCTACCAGTCTATCATTATCAATAAAACCATCGAACTCGCCAGCAGGTCGTCAGCGCGTTGGATCGAAAATAAATCATCGCGACGCGCGTGCAGCGCGGGACGTTGCACCGTGCGACCGGGGCAAATAAACTGTGCGTCCGATCGGCCAAAGGTCACATTATCGCGTTTACCGCGACTTTTGCGTATGTCCGCGAAGCGATAAACATACTCCAACATAACCTCAAAGGCGAGCTGCCTGCCGTGCACGCGCCGCGCGATGACGTTTGACGTTTCGCGCCCGCGTGCGCCAGGCCAGGCGCCTGGAATGCACGCGAGCTGGGATCTGGAATTCTGGATCCACACGCGCGCGCGTGCGTGCACTGCACTTCGCGATATGCGTTCGAAGCCCTCGCCGAATTTCCAAATTGCGAGGAACTCCCCGCGTCCGAGCACTTTGAGCGCGATTCTGCACGTCGCGTTCGGATTGTCCGCAATTGGAAAATAAAAAGAATTAATCCTCTCGCGATTCCCAAGAATCTCAAGTGTTCCTCGCCGCGCGCGCGCGAGTTTCAGCTTTTAGCGCAAATAAAAGTGCGGTAAAAACGCGCCGATAAAAGTCGATGCGCGCGGAAAGCGATGAAAATTATGCGCCGCAAATACGAAGGAATTCTTGCGTTTCCAGATTAACGCTGATTGCGAGGAATGCGAGGAAGATTTTGTCCTGTGATATTTAGAAATGGCGCGTCTCGGTTCTCCTTATATATTCTCTCTCTTCCGCTTTTTCTTTTTAATTGGTAGATGATAAAGTAATTTTTAAGATCGGAGTTTATATCATGCGGCGGTAACCGAGTATAGGGGACACTTCAATTACCGATCGTGATAAAAATCGCAATGACGTTTCTTTACATACGTTCTCCGGGAACGATAACGATGCATATTATTATATAATTATTATAAACGATATGTCGTTTATAATTATGCGATTCTCTTGGAAATCAGACTGATCGACTCTATAGAATAAAAAAAAATATATTAATGAAGCTATACGCTAATTACATTTTCTAGTACGTACAATTCAAAAATTCGAAAAATAGAGTCGATCAGTTTGGCTTCTGAAAATCTCTCCTTTATGAGCTTGTATAATTATAAAGCCGTAATTATTGTAATCTTTCTCGGAATAATCAATCAGGCCACGACGTCACGCAACTACTTTGTAAAAATCATAATATTTACGTCATCGCATATTTATTATTTCGGTTAATATTTATTAAATTCTTATCCGCGCTGCACGTGTAGGATTTCGCATATTCATTATATTTTTTCTATTTAGTTTATTCTGCTGCGTGCAGGAATGCGAAAGAAACTTGGGTGTAAAATTATATCAATCAAATACACGGCAACTTATAAGAACAAAAGTAAAAGTTATGCGAATTTGTATGATTTGTACGATGACAAATTCGTATAGCCCATAGATGGTCAAATACACTTTTAAAACTGTTTATTTTACAATTATACCGAAGGCATTCTAATAAAGGAAATTTAATTTCAAATAACTCCGATTGTTAATTCAACCGGTAGAATTGCATGAAGCAGAAATTCGAACTATATAATTCGTTATCCTCAATCTAATCCTTTTTTTCGAACAGAAAATTCTATCCATGTTAACAAAATAATGCAGGCAGTGTATGGGTCGATTTCACCGATTAAACTCGATCACTCTTTATCTCTTTCTAACTTTCCCCCTTATGTTTATTTTTATCAATGTAAATTAACCTTAATCTCGGTTTAAATTACGTTTTATCTCTTTCTAATTCTTAGAATTAAAGAGAGATAAAAAGTAAATTAAACCGAGATTAAGATTAATTTACATTGATAAAAATAAACATAAGGGAGAAAGTTAGAAAGAGATAAAGAGTGAGTTTAATCGGAGGATCAAGTTAATCGGAGACTGTGAAATCGACCCTATATAGGTATATTACTCGATAAGTTAATCACCGAGTAAATTTAATTTAATCACCGAGTAAATTTAATCGGAAAGAGAATGATTAAAGTTATCCTAAAGATTTCCCAGGTAGCATATATTAGTTTCATATATTATATACGTTTTTTGAACGTATACATATAGTTTCATAACCGCCGTAAAGAACCATTAAAAAACGTTTGAACAAAAATGTTTTTGAAACATGATTTAAGAAACGTATTTTTTACGTTTCTACAGTTAACAAAAATACCAATTTGTTAAATTTTTCCTTTCAAAATTATAATTTGCTTTATCTACATATATATAACAGCTTTAATAGCCTTTTTTGAAACATTTAAATTTATATTGCACTAATTATTGCACAAAATAAATCATTTTATTCATATAGATCGATGGTACATGCATAAAGCTTCTGGAACATTCTCTGTCTCAAAGTCATAATAAACACGTTCAAAAGACGTGAAAAGTAGGAATTTTAAATGTCTTTATCTAAAATGTCTTTATCATTTAAAACAAAACGTTTCTATAATAGTTTTTGAACGTTATTTTGTCGGAAAAGAAACGTGTTCCATCGAACGTTTTTCGAATGGACATTTTTACTTATGAGAAACGTTTCTAGAAATCGGTTATAAAACGTTTCGAAAAAACGCTTATAAAATATTTCTGAAACGTGTATGTGCTACCTGGGTTGTTTCTTTTTTTGTAAAAGAATTTTTATCGGAGTTTTACTATGTATATTTACAGTCAGAAACATAGGTTTTGTGTTTGTAGTTTATCTTCAATTTTGATGATACATCAGTACTTATTACGTGATAGATAATCTCTTCTCGCATCCGACAAATCTGGAATTCCCAGATTTAAGGGGAAAAATTACAAATGTATAAATTCTTAGAACGCTTTCGTATTTGTCGGAATTCCTCACATGAATTGAACATTTTCTTATGATCTTTCTGAATATAAACATCACGACTTTATCGTAATTTTTATTTCCATCTGATTTCTCGCGTATATAATATGACGTTGCGAGCGGCGTACAGCTGCAGTAACATAAAACACATATAAGCTTTATTTTTTGTGCAATTTCGAAACTAGTTTTGAAGCACTTTGAATTTTGCTACGCCAAATCGCTTGTAACGTCATTAAAACTATAATTTTAAATATATCTATATTTATATACAAAGTTTGTTTGTAGATTGCACTCTAATGATTGGTGTATAATTTAGTGCAATTTGCGTTGAGTTAAATTCTCTTTTCCTTAGTCTTTCGCATGTCTAAAGCGATCGACTGAGTTACCAGGTTTGGAGAAACTAAATGTTGCAAAAAGAGAATTATTGGTGGAATAAAAAACTCGAGTAAACGGCTTCTTCTAAAACAGCTACAATAGTCGATCAAACGCCTCGAAATTGTTATAATCTGTGATAATGGCGATCCGCGATTAGACGCTCGGCGGCGCATGTTTAGCGACAATGACATTGCGAGAATGAAAAGAAGCGTAGCGCGGCGTTTTATTCGCTCACACACTCTCTCATAATACCTTCGAACCGTTCAGAAAACTGCTGATTTGCAGTCGCAAAACTTCGGTCGTGTCGAAGCAGCCTCGTAGATGTAGATCGTGCGCTCGCTCGATTCTCCCCTTCTTTTTTACGTGCATATATTTACGTGGTTCGAAAATTGCTGCGGCGGCAATTTTTTGGAAAGCAAATCTTGAAAGGAGCTAAAGAGAGCAGCAGAAATTTGAAGAGATCCCGCCGACTCAAAAGAAAATCGAAAGAGTTGAAACGTCCGCCAATCGTCGACCCTGTTTACGAGTTTACCTTCCCGCCATCAATGAACATGGTGAGTGACGTCATCGATTTGAATTTCAAATTCTGGCGGCATTGTCATTATTATCGTTCGACAACTTGTGGCGACTTCGAATTACGATTAACTTAATTGATGATTAATATGATAGAATTATTAATATTATATTCTTATTTAACGTGAAAAGAATATGGAAGAAAGATTGGAAGCAACGAATCGTAGTTCGAAAGTTCACTTTACGCGATTATTGTCTATTTCTATAACAATATAGATCAAACTTACTTTTCATTCTTTTCTAATTCTTAGAATTGCTTAGAAGTAATTCTTAGAAGTAATTCTTAGAATTAGAAAAGAGTAAAAAGTAAGTTAAATCGAGATAAAAGTTAATCTGCATTCATATTATAGAAATAAACGTCGTTCGTTAAATTAATTTCCGATTAAATTAATCGACGAAAAGAAAATATTCTCTCGAAATTTTTTACGTCTAGAAAATTCTATTCGCACGACACACGCGCTGTTCTTTTTTTCAAGTCAACGTGAACTATTGTGAATGCGACGCCGCCAGTCGGAATAAATTATGTAAATAGCTTTGAACAGAGAATGCACGTAGATTCAATCGTCAAGAGCACGATAAGAGATTATTATAATAAGTTTTTAATAGGTCGCATTAAATATTCGACCGTGCACACTATACTGTGTCACTTCATTCCATAAGCCGTGATCAGACTATGAATTGGGATTGAGATTGGATTGAAATTTAATCAATCAGAATAAAGAAAACTAACTTCAAGTTTAGTAAACTTTGCTCTAATTGGTCAAATTTCAATCCAATCTCAATCCCAATCCGTAGTCTGATCACGACTTAAAGATATGCGGGAAAGTTCAAGGTTGCAAGAAACGATAACGTTGCAAAAAACGAAAGCTATCTTTTTCCTTTACGATAAGCTTCTAATTGACAAATACATCACATTTATGTGATGTATTTATTGACATGTTGCATAAATGTCGTTTTAAAGATATTTAACGATATACAGCAAAATATTAAGTAATTTGCATAGTTAAATAAAAAAGAATTTACAGAAAACAATTTTAATACGTTAATTATAATACATAACTAAAATAATGACATATTCAACGCTAAAAAGAATTAACTAAAAGTTTTTAATCGTATCTATACATGATTTATTTATCCACCGTCATGTTAGATTTAATATTAACGTCAAGTGACATTTGAATTTCATTCAACGTTCAAGTGTCATCCTAATTTCGTATTCATGCAGTATCGTACATAATATTCAGCCAACAGGTGAAGGAAACGAGTCATTAATGCAAATTTCGAGACGATGATTTAACAATCCGCGCCAAGAAAGATAATCCATCAAATTCTTATAGATTTTGCGCTACGTGCAAAAAATAATAAATTATAATGATATAAAATTAATTATGCCCAGCGTCACAATAATTCACGTCGGTTGTCCCGAAAGCGAGAGTATAAACGGTGAACGCGTTGTAATAGGCGCGAGCGACACTAGTTCTACCTTTTACGACACGCAATTTTTTTTTTAATTAATTTCATTTCGAAACGGGGCCGGAACGAGGCCTCGCCTCGGTCGTGGTAGTTTCTCCCGTCGAGTCGATTCGACGTTTTCACCAACGCTAGTATGTACGATACGGCCGCATGCGTCGTGTGCGTCAGCAGCGTCAGTAGTGGGTTCGTTGCCGAGCCGAGCGGTCATGAGGAGTTGGGGTTCTCTCGCATAATCAGTTGGACTTTCCTCGTTTGGCCATCCCGTCGCGTTCCCTCTTGCCGTGTTTCTCCGCACCGAGGTGGACTTTCAGTCTCAGCGTTAACGTTTCCGCTTTCAGCTGATCCGACAGTACGCCCGACGCGGTGCCAGCGCTCGTCGTCCCGTTAACGCTGCAAAAGGTAATGCATCCGCTATCTAAAGATATACAGACAGGTGTGTGCTGCGTCACTGTTCTGTCACTTTCTCCTTTTCCCTCGTCCCGTCTTGCACGTGTCGAGATGATTGCGATTCCGTTTCCTCCCCTCCCCCTTACTTTCTTGCTTCCGCGAGGCTCGGAGTCGAAGATGACAGGTTGTTATCTAATGTCATCGTTCCCCTCTCCCTGCTCGTTTCCTCGCACGCGAATTATGCAATTCTCAGGAGATTGGACGTTCGTGCGATTATTGGATTGAGATCATTTCCAGATTGCACACTGTCATGCTACCGTCGGTTTTTTCTTTTCAAGTATTATCTCGTGTTCAATATCACCTGTAGATTTATATAATTTGTGAACATATGCCCCAATATTCCTTTCACTTAGCATTATTTAAATGTAGAATATCGTTGAAGTATTTTTAGAACATTACGACACATTTACCGATTATTTTTTTCATTTTGGCAATTTGATATTTATAAACCAATGTATTTTCAGATCTTCTGAAAACAATGCCGTGCCCTTTCTTGACTCGTCTGTCCGCAAACTACGTTCGCAATTACGGAACGTCCCTGATAATGAATTACCGGCAGCTCTGCCCAGTGATGTCAAGATTGTTCAGTACGATGACGGAGTCGGAAGAGTCTCAGCCGATTCCCGAGCCTATACAGAATCAGTGTCCTTTCTTGTCCAGAGAGCGGGACGCCGTCAAGAAAGCCAGTCCAGCGATGGAGGAAGATGTTATCAATCTAGGTGAACAGAAGGAAGAGGGGGCGCAGTTCCCTTATGAGGAATTCTTCCACGAGCAAATTATGCGTAAGAAGAAGGATCATTCGTACCGGGTGTTCAAGAAGGTGAATCGTCTGGCTGAAAACTTTCCGGTAGCCATGGAATACTCATGGGGCGAGAAACCGATAACCGTATGGTGCTCCAATGATTATCTAGGAATGTCGCGTCATCCCGCGGTGATCAACGCGGTCCGAGAAGCGTTGGATAAGTTTGGCGCTGGTGCCGGGGGTACGAGAAACATCTCGGGCAACTCCATGGGTCATGAGAAGTTGGAGAAGCGGCTGGCGCAGCTGCACGATAAGGAAGCCGGTTTGCTCTTCACCTCCTGCTTCGTTGCCAATGACTCCACTCTGTTTACGCTAGCCAGAATCCTGCCAGGTTGCCACGTGTTCTCCGACGCCGGGAATCACGCCTCCATGATACAAGGGATAAGAAACAGCGGCGTGCCGAAGCACATATTCCGGCACAACGACGTGGACCATCTGGAGGAGCTCCTGTCGAAGGTGGACAGAAGCGTGCCAAAAATCGTGGCGTTCGAGACGGTGCATTCTATGACCGGCGATATTTGCCCGTTGAAGGAGTTGTGCGACGTCGCGCACAAGTACGGGGCGATAACGTTCGTTGACGAGGTCCACGCGGTCGGTCTGTACGGCTACACCGGCGCCGGTATCGGCGAAAGAGATTGGGTGCTTGACAAAATGGACATTATATCCGGTACCTTGGGAAAGGCCTTTGGCAACGTGGGCGGCTACATCGTTGGTTCCGCGAGGCTGATTGATATGATAAGAAGTTACGCGGCCGGCTTTATTTTTACCACTTCGCTACCGCCCACCGTGCTATACGGAGCCTTGACTTCCGTCGAGATTTTGGCATCGGACGAGGGCAGGTCATTGAGGACGAATCACCAGAAAAATGTGGCCTATATGAAGTCTATTCTTACTGCCGCCGGTCTTCCGTTAGAACCGTCGCCTTCTCATATAATTCCAATAAAGGTGAGCTGCAACCAAATGGTTTAATTAATCATTCATCGTAATTGAACAACAATTGTTAATATAAAATATTATGTTCTTTTTTTGTTTTAGATAGGAGATCCATTGGTGTGTAGCCAGATAGCGGACCATTTATTAAGAGACAAAGGGCACTATGTGCAAGCTATAAATTACCCTACGGTTCCAAAGGGCGAAGAGAAATTAAGACTAGCTCCAACACCGAAACACACTCGGGATATGATGGATAAATTTATGCGGGACACGTTGAATGTTTTTCATCAACTGAATATATCCACCAAACCGAACGATGCGCCGCGTGCTATCCTGGTTCATTGACGAATGTATATATAATACAGATGATTATATCGTACAAACGGAGTCTATCAATGTATAGAGTATTTATTTATCTAGCCTGGTTCACACATCAGTTGTGTTTCAGCAACATGTGCAATTATCAGTATATAAATTCCTGGTATATCAAGGTTAACAATTAACAGAGGTTTAAATAAAGTGTTAACTGATAAATTGCATGTATCCTTCATGTGTATCATCCTTCCCTCCTTATTATTAGTATTTCAAAGCTATGTACAATCTGTGATAAAAGCGAACAGCTATAATTCAATATGTATGACCACAAAAAATAATTACAATTAATTTTTTATTAAAAACTACCACACTTTATCTTGGAAATTTATTTTTACCGTAATTGCAATTAATCAAAAAGTATTCATTGCGTGTTGTATAACATAAGTAACTTTGAGAAGTATAGACCTAACCTGCAATACAATTGTGAATCTTCATCATTTCATCATCAGTATCGTGCTCGTCGCCCATTATCAAGTATTATTGAAAAAAATGAAGATTCTTAATTAAAAAATTTAAATGATATATTATTTACAAATTACCTTACACATCTTGCTCGATTATCCGCGCACGCGCATTCGCGCGTCACCCGCTCGTCTGTCGTCTGCAACTGTCAGCTCCGCTCCAGGGTTAACACTTTCGGGAAAGATGCGGCTTTTGCTTTGCTCTTTTAATAGCGCCGTCAGTCGGTAGACACGGTGCACGGTGTACGAAAATGTCCGCGCGAACATCAGAAAGCACGGCGCGGATCTAACTCGCGGCCCGTCTCCGTGAATCACTCCCTTCGACTGGTATGTTTATTGGCGGTCGACCGCATAGGTTATAGCAGGATGAAGAACTTCGTCAGTATCTTGAAAATCATCTTCCTGAATCACGCGCGCGGACTGTCCTACACGGTGACGATGACGCTCCTGCTGGTCTACTGTCTTCATCCGGCGCGATTCGCCTCTCACTACGCCTACATCAAGACTGAGAACATCTACGACGAGATGGAGAGATCGTACCCGCCGCGGGACAATTCCTGCGTGATCCCCGTCAGCGGGTCCTCCCAGCTGCTCTATCCGGAGGAGCATCCCCGGGAGGATCCGGTGGTGATGGCACGTCGACTCGGCATCCTACCGGGCGGCCAGTGGAAGCCCCTCAATTGCCATCCTCTCTTCAACGTGGCCATCATCCTGCCGTACCGCAACCGGCAGACTCAGCTTGCCATCTTCATGAATTACATACATCCGTTTCTGCAGTCGCAGAACCTGGACTACCGGATATTTGTGATCGAGCAGAGCCCGATGCGCGAGTTCAATCGCGCCAAGCTCTTCAACGTCGGCTACGCCGAGGCCACCAAGATCAACGATTTCCACTGTTTCATTTTCCAAGACATAGACCTGATACCGCAGAATCCCGACAATATCTACGCGTGCACCAAAATGCCCAGGCATATGAGCTCCAGTGTAAATACCTTTCGATATAATCTACCTTACACCGGCCTGTTTGGAGGCGCGATAGCCTTGACGAGGAAACAGTTTGAAAGAGTAAACGGATTTTCTAATGTTTTCTACGGTTGGGGCGGAGAGGACGATGACTTCTACAGTCGTTTACAGTCCAGGGGCTTTCAGGTTTGATCAATATAAATCGGTATCAATGTGACATGTATCTATTAGATACTTAAATAGTTTTATTCCACAGATAACGCGCTTCGGGCCTAATGTGGCGCAGTATTATATGCTGACGCATAAGAAGGAACCTCCCAGTACTACGAGATTTGCAAATTTGGAGACTGGTGCTCGAAGATATGACACTGATGGTCTTAGCAATCTAGAATACAGAGTATTAAATCATCAATTGCGACCATTGTACTCTTGGATTTTAGCTGACGTGTAATTTACAAGTTTTTTATCTAATATTAGCACTTATATCTAATTTACAAGTTTTTTATCTAATATTAGCATTTATATCTTTTTTTAAATTGACGCTAATCAGATAAGTTGTTGTAGTAAATTATATATTTTTTAGAAGAATTAAAAAAATTTTATCTTACACAAAGTATATTAGAAATTCAACGAATAAATGTAATTGTTTTAGCATGCTGTGATAGAGCACTATAATTAAGTCTTGCAAGGATATTTTTTTAACGATTGAAAAAATATTTCACTTCTGTGTGTTAAGAGTGTGAACAATTAAGCTTACAACAAATATTTCCTAGTATGTAAATTTAATAATGTTTTTTCGATAGCACTCGTAACAGTGAGATGTGACAACGGTAATAATAATTTATCAACAGGTTGTACAAAGATATAAAAGATAATATTAGAGTCCGACCGAAACAATCTTTTTTAATTTCGGTCAAAACCGAATACGAATATTCGGTTATGTGTCGGCCGAAACCAAAATATATACGCATATATATTAATATACTTTTTATTTATAAATATCAATTTAAATCAAAAGTCAATTTAAAATAATAACACTTGTAAGTGTAAAGGCCCCCGCACAATGAAAAATATAACGAACAAAGAACAGATATTAGCGATTAGAACTAAGGACTCAAAAATAAAATTGGATGCACAATGAAAAACACAGGCAATAGATTTTTAACCTATCGGAAGCCGTGTATCAATGCTACACCAGCTTTATTCCTGATTCTTTAGACCTAATCGCTAAAATTTATTGTTTCTTGTTCCTTATATTTTTCATTGTGCGGGAACCTTAATTATTAAAATAATTACACTTATTATCACAATCTGTATGCTATATACTATCTGTATTATCATATTACTTGAATAGGAACAAAATTTCTAAACGTGAAATAAAAATATTTTTTAAAGTCTTTGAAAAATCTGTAGAAAATAAACAGTTTTGGTTACGTCGCTGAAACTTTCTTTGAATTTTGACCGAAATCAAAACCGAATTTTCGGTCGAGATAATATGTAATAACATATAGTTATGTTATTGATAAGAGTTGAAGACTGTAATCATCAGATACTTTCTTATTTTATTTCATTAAAATAAGAGCAATACCATTTAGATATGTAATATTCAACTACACTATCGTTAAATTATTTAATTTCATATTTTTGTGATATTTATCATGTAAAAAAAGCTGCTATTTAATGGTACAAATCTATTTCACATACATAGAAAGTATATTAATCTTTGGTCAATGATACTTACCTGATACCCAAAGAGATTCTGGTCCTTTTATGTTATAAATTATAATAGAGTGCAGTGTTCTTCTACTGACTGTTACTAGATACTTTAGATATAAAACATTTTTCTGTTACAAAATAAGATTTGATGTACTATTACATAAATATTCAAACGTGAATGAATCAGAGATTATCTAACATTGCTCAGTCTAATGCTTGATATTAATTACATATCTGATTTCTTATAAATTATGAATAAACATAGTTTAGAAGTATACAATACTTCATTTTTTTTTTTATCTTTGAATGTAACGAAAAATGATAGTGACAGAACAATATTAATAATTTAAGTATATCGTTATAATGTGATGAGGTATTGTAAAACAATAAAACTAAGTTTATTAACTGATAAAGAGAACATGATAATGGAAAGTGTTGGATTTTAGAAAAATAAGTAAAATTATATATACATACCACTTTGTGAATATTTAAAATAATGCCTATCATTCAAGAAATATATTTAAAAAATGTAATACAAAATTTTTAATGTTTCAAGTGTGAAGGAAACAAAACTTGAAGTGTTTTAGCAATTAAACTTTTTTAATTTTGGAGATATATTATTATCTATCATAAGCAAATCTCTATTTCTATTTATATACATGATGTCTGGTAATAATCGCTGGATCTCTTCAAAAATCATACAACACGCTTATCGTGATGTATATTTATATTTTTAGATATTTCTTTTAAACTATTAAATTGAATTTATACTTTTTGTAATTTTTGATCAAAAAATTTAATCAAGCATTTTTTACTTCTTATTGTCAATATCGTATTTCTCGATCATAAGGAAATTATTGGAACACGAACAAGAGTTTTAGAATTCTGGTCAAATAAGACAAATAAGTTTATAAAGTTTAATCTATTACGAAAAAAATCACATGTTCTCAATATGTATATTAGTAATAACGCTGCATGTACATTCATTAATTTTCCGTCTATTATTTAATACATGAATCTTGCACGATGACGTCGATGACTTTAGAAAAATAAAAGTAAATTACAAAAACGATGTTAGAAATGTATACAGTGATAAATATAATGCATTACCTCCAAAAACTGTAACAAAAAAGAAAAATAAATGTATATATGTGTGTACGAGAATAACCAAGATGCTAAATATCTTTAATATATCCAGTTTAATTAGATTAAATGAATGCGAAATTCTAGACTTCGATGATATAATAAATATAAGATGCGCCAATACATATGAAGACAAACATATTGAATTGCGTAAACAACAGATCACACAATCTTTTTAACAAAAATATCATAAAACTGACTTCACTGTTAATGATATTTTCGTGAAGCAAGACACTTTGCAGACGGTACTAAGAAAAATTACTACAGATATTTTGCATAATGTAATAATGTTCATAGTTCATAATGATATTTATTTTTAATACAACTTTATATAACTTGTTAAATCATAAAACATTTTCACGTTCCAAATAATTTAACTTGCTAAATACAACTCAAGAATCATTTTTAACAAGATTATATTTGTTTGCCAAGAATTTTTTACTACTATTCAATTATGTATAATTTATTCGTGGGCAAATATTATTGCATTGCACAATGATGTCAATGATATAATAATCATAGTTTGACAGAGTGATTCTGTGCGGAAAATGCATCCTCGAAAAAACCAGAAATATGATCTGATTAGTTTTCAGTTTGCGAGTAACATTGATGTTATATAAATAAAATGGCGCGTATGTGTGTACGTGTATACCTTGACAATATATTGTATTTCAGTGTACCGTATATATTACAGAAAAAAAAAGAAATGTATTATAGATATAGAACATCATTAAAGCACACGAGGACGGGACTTTGCACAAGGATGTATAAAATGCGTATTGCATGGCGAATGCAACAGTCCCCGAGAATTGACTATCACTGTGCAGTTATAAGTAAATTGCTATTACAATATTCGAATGATAACAATACGAGCGTGTAATTATGTGTCTATGGAAAATGGAGTACAAGAACTTGTGTGTGTATATATAAAATCTATTTTAACCATATCCTACGTATTACGTGTCAGACAATTCTTGGTATCGCGCGTACATCATCTTCTTCACGCAGTCCTTGTAGGTGTCGCCCGGTAACGCGCTGTACGACGAAGTCTTCGCTCCTAAGCCAGCTGTAGGGACGCGTCTCTCGGCTTCGATAATACTAGTTCTACCTTGATTCGATTTTCCTAATCCCATTCCTTCGCTCCAGCCCATTTTTTGCAGTAATTTATTGCCGACATTATCGGATCCAATACCGGCTCGTGTAGGTTCCTCATAAGATACTGACATGTCCTCCACTCTCGTCTTCAAGTATTTCTCTTTCAATTTGTTGGGCTGCGGTGGTTCAGGTTCACCGTACTTGGCCCTCCTTTCCTTGGCGCGGTCTCTGTATTTATTGTTCCTCTGTTGCGGATCATTGGGATCCAGACCGCGTACTTGGTACCAGTTTTCCAGGTTTTGTTTGTGAAGATCGGACAACTGTTGATGACGGAGTAACGCCTCCTTGCTTGGAAACTGTCGTTTGCAAAGTAAGCATGCCAGCTTACTCCAATCCGTGTGTTGTTTCTCTTCCTGTTGCACGTCTTCTATCTCCTCCTCTGTATCGCTACCGCCTCCGTAAGCAGCTACCAATCCATTACCGCTTTGATCTTCGTCCTCGTGATAAGGATTCGCGATAGTTTTCTTCTCCAGGATAGCATATCCCGCGTCCGCCGCGCCACTTCCGATACCTTGATTGCCATCCATACCGGCAAACTCAGAGTTCCAATTACTCTTGGCGTTCTCTTTCTTCTGATTCAAAGTCTTTGCCCAACGTTCCATGTCTTTCGCTATTTTCTTCGCTACTTTCACTTTGTCCTGTTTGCTGTCTTTCTTCTTACTTTCGTCCTCCTTTAACGCCTCCTGAGCCGCATTAGCGGCCGACAAAGCAGCTTGATTGCTGATCGTGCTCGCGGAATCTGTACTGCTTGCTGTCGCTGTTATCGTGTTTGTAGCTCCCTGTGTCGTACTTGCAGTAGACTATACACAAGAAATATGAAAACATTATTTCTAGTAATATCTTTAAACAAATTAACATGCTATCCTTTCATAAGATTCAATTTCAATTACCTTAGCTGGTTGATAAGAGAATGATTCGGCGTCCCAATAAAGAAACTGTTGCGTATGACTGTTATAATAATATTGTGAGTTTGGGTCGTAATATAATCCCGTGCTAGGATCATAATAGTAGCCAGATGATTCGTCATAATGATAAGTGCTAACGTCCGGTACAGCTGCAGAAATAATAAATATAAGATAATTTTAAAGATCCAATTTAAAATGAACTTAAAAAGTGTATCCTATAGAAACTTACAGTATACTTTCCCATCGCTGGAGTGTGCGGGAACCCTTCCACTGGCTAATGCCGTACTGGTGGGTGCTGTAGGGGTCGGCCGTCCCTTCACTTCGTCGGTTTCACTTCCTAGCTTTCTAGATGCCTGCAATTGTTGTATAGCGGACTGCGCTACCGCCGCGGCCGCGTTAACTCGGTCTGTTTGATTCAGGGACGGCAATGTGATCGCCGAACCCTGCATTATTTGATTTTGATAGTACTGCGTGTAATACTGAAGATAATGGGCCTTTTGTGCAGGCGTTTTGGCATACAAGTTGGCACTGTATTCAGCTAATTGAGCTACGTCGTCCAAGGTGTACCTCTGTGGCTGAGTGTCGTTCGACTTCCACGCATTCGTATTATTAATTTGATGAAGTTTACAGTACGTTATCTCCACTTTCCTGCCGTCGACCACCAGTCCTTGTTTTGTGAGCGCGGTATGCAAGTACATGGCATCTACTACATTGCCCATCTCCAGATAGCACACTCCTCTGGATGTATTTGTGAGAGAATCGCGACCGATGCGAATACTACGTATCGGCATCGACGACAGATTCTTCATCGCTTGTAGAACCGAATCCTCAGTCGTTAACACATCCAATCCCCGTAAAAGTACGGTGTTCGTGGGATGCGGGCTGATTTCGTCGCTACCTTCTCCGCCCTCCTCGCTTTCCGCTCGCGAGGCGGAACACTTGAAGCAAGTCTCACGTCGTTTGAAATTGTGTGCCCCACACTATGGAACATGGAACAAATGTAACAGTGGTGAATTATTCATGAACGTGATATATATTCTATGAAAGAGCAAAGACCCATTTACTCATGGTACGCACCTTAACACAGTGCCAATCCTGCGTATTTTTCGCCGGCGGTTTATCCACATGGCACTCTTTCGGTATACTGTACTGCATCAGTGCGCGATATTGATCCTGCAGCATCAGCACTCCCTGAAACAGAGAATTTCAGTGTTATCCCGTCCAACGTCTTCCTAAGGCCTCTTGTTTATCCCGTAAACTTTCTTCTTGGTTGACGAAATTATAGTTTTCTACTTCATAGCTTTCTGTCTCGAACAAACAGCGAACAAAGCCTCGTGGGCCTATTAACGTGGGCCATTCCACACCGCTTGCAGACCGACTTGTTCATGCGCGACTTTATGTGGACAATCGTAATTTAAACTTCCGTAAGAAAGTGCAGGCAAGAAACACGAGAATTGCTCGCGCGTATGAATTTTTATGCGAATAAAAAATTCTTTCGTGCATAATCTCCGTAGAGACTTTGAACGTCGTAAGTGATTGCATCAAGAACTAAGCGAAACGGAAGAAGCAAAGACACAAGTATAAAGGTATAAAAGCGGATTACACGGATAGCAAAAATTGTCGTTCGGAATGATTGTCGTGCCAAATAGAAAATACGTGAATCAAAATGATATATAAGACGACTGGAATGACCCTCCTCCGATCCTCATTGTTAGTCCACGAATTTTTATGATAGATAAAAGCAGACGCGACGCGGCGGCGGAATCTCAGTCAATCGCAAAACTTAAGCCGATATTGCGCGAATATTGCGAGCGAATTAAGAAAAGTCTGCAAAATATGTGGGGATTCCTAGATAAATAATTAGATACGGTAGATTGAAATAGTTTTTTATAGGTGCACAGCCGTGGCCACGGGGAGGGCCAGAGGGCTGCGTTACCGTGCCTTGCCGCCACGGGGCAGTCGGTGGCACGCGTGCGACAACGCATCTTGGGTATCTGGACCAAACTTCTTTCTACCTGTTTCATCTCCATCCATCGTGCGGCCTCCTGAGTCGCGTTAAACTCGACGAATGCGAAACCTCGCGAAGCACCTATACAGAGCAAATACACACATATCCAGAGTTAATCCACGTTTGTGCCTGGGTTTCTCTACTCTGAGAGGGCAGGCAATCACAGCACCGACCATTGACTGACTGAGTTTCAAACGAAGTGTCTCTTCGCTTCGTCGCTTGCATTCATTTTCCATTTACCTAAATTTCAGCAGAACGAATTCCGTGCGAGAGACCGCAGTTCACCGATATACGTGATCGGGATACGTATATAATTTAACGTTTAAAGTTACAGAATTTTTGTTTCTCTCAAACGCCGAGATAAAAAAATTTTTTTCAGTCTTCTTTTACCCTTTTACCACGTAAACTTTTATACCACGGATGAGAACGACGTAGAGACTTTTGCAAATAAAAAGACGCCGGCAACAAAAACCGATCCCGGACACATGTTAATCGTGTATATACTGTTTATAATCTATAGTCGAGAGCTTGTATATAGATTACTAAGAAATACATCGTTTTAATAATTTACAATATTATTTTATTTTCACTTGAAATATGAATCTTTAAAAGTGAGACAGTAAGGAAAATTCAAGTATAAATATCTTTAATTAGTAAAAATCAATAGATATATTCTCAATATATCCATTTTAAAGCATTTATCTTTCAATTTTCCTTGAAACTTCATATTACAAGAGAAACAAAAGAATAGTTGTTATTACTAAAATAATGTCTTCATATGTAACAAGAGTATCCTAACTGAAGAATTGTTATATGCTCCTATAATTATAAATATAAGTTATATTATCTTACTTGAAATAAGTCAAGAATCATTAAAAAACGCGAGCTTTTTTTTGTAGATAATTGTGTTAAAAAAATTTAATAAAGCTTTTATTGAGCGGTTTTATGTAATCTTGACAAGTAACTTAATGTCCTCTTTCAAAAACCCTCTCCTATATTTTTCTATACTTACCTTTTACCAAGAATATATAATAATCAACAGCCAAACCAATAATATTTCGAAGAATATGTATGGTTGGTATCAAGAAATATATAATAAAAATTATTGAAAAATTCTAAATAAGTAGTAATTTGTAAGAAATTCTTGTAAACTTCATACACGATACGGTTTTTGTCCCGTTTTTATGCAATTTAAATCGGTAAACGCTAATGGTTGTATAAGCCTAACGATACGCAACAATATTACAAGTAACAATTCAGTTGAGCTCAGTATGTATACGATAATTACATTATAAGGATGTTAAGATTTTTAAACACAGTGTAATAGTTACCTGTATCTTTTTTTCGAATCAGCCTGATGTCCTTAGGCATGAGACCACAGTTGAGGATGTCTTGCCGCACCTGTGATACACACATCATGATAATAATAGTGATGCCACGCTCGATAATGCTGGCTCACGATGTGGCCACTATGTTAGGCCACAAAGTTGACAACCTACGTCATTTTCAGTAATATGCTGAGCGAGCCCACGTATCATTATGGTGTTGTTGGGCGATTGTGATTTGTAGTGGATCCCTTCCATGGACGAGCCATAGGCACGACCATGGTCATGCTCAAAGTCCAAACTTTCTCGACTATGATCGTCGTCGCGATCGCGATCCCGATCCTCCCGTTTCCCCCTACGGTCCCTATCTCTATCCCGATCCCTGTCGCGTCTGGAACGGTCTCTCTCTCTGTCCCTGTCTCTATCCCTATCCCTATCTCTTTCAACAGAGTCTCTATCTCTTTGTCTCCCATAACGATCCTCGCGATCCCTATAGCTGCGATCACGATCGTCTCTGCTACGATCTCTCCTATCCCTCGAACGATCCCTTTCGCGGTCTCTGTCTCTTCCACGGTGATTTCTGTAATCCGGACTACGACGGTCCCTATCACGGTGATCAACATCACGGTGATCAACATCCGGATATTCCGGCGACCTGTTGTTTCCATAATCACTGCGGTAGTCATAGTCAGAATTGTGACTTCTTCTTTCTGGCCCGTAGCCAGGCTCCCAAGGGTCGATGTTATTATTGCTGTACATGTCGTTTGCACATTTATTCAATTTCTGGAAGAAAAAACAAAAATAATTATTTTCTCATATCTTTAATTAAGAAAATTCTAGTTTTATATATACATGTATATAACTGTACGACATATATTCCAAACAAAGTGACAAAATAATAGTTGATAGTTTTATTTAACAAGACTGGAAAAATTTAAAACATTAATTCCATTCTTTTTGTAAGTATATGTACAAATATGTATTCCAGTATACTGGGATACATGTAAGAAGGTAAATATAAGTTATGTATTTAATATTTTATTCTTCTGACATTTCTAAGTTGTATTGTTGACAAAAGTATTATATACTCAAGATATCTTAAGTTCATATGTAAAATTAAAATTTAATCATGCATTCTTTAATCAATTCGAAGAAAATAAAAATGTACTTTAGTTTCCAAAGTAATATTTGAAAACGGAGATACGTAACAGTGACAAAAATAATAAAAATATACCATATTATATATATTAACTTAAATAAGAAACTATAAAAACTATCACAATATTCCAATACGTTATTAAGACACGGATATCTAAATGTCCTTTCAAAAGCTTCAAAAATTAAAATTAAAATTAAAATTCTTCGTCTAAAAATCGTGACTGCTTAAAGATATTTCAAAAAAAGAAAAAGAGTAGAAATCGATTCAATGCAGCAGCTTTTTATATGCATCTCGACAGTGACGCGCTTTACGCCAAATGATACCTACTCCGGAACAAGCAGCAACGACCACTACGACCAGACGAAGAGCGGACTGTCGGGCGTCCCGAGTTCCGAATGCGACGCGTCCGCCAAACGCTTCGGATAAAAACACGCGGCTCGAACCGGATATCTCGGCGAAGCCACGACGCGGAGTCTCTGTCGCGAGCGTCAGGGTACTCCGTAGCGTCGATGAATAAATCTTACCCGCTGCAACGATTCCTCGTCCCCCGCGTGCAACAAACTTAGCTCCGGATCGATGATGACAGGCAACTCTGCGACGCTCGCTGTTCGCTGTTTCACGGCGAACCGCAAACGGAAAATTAACGTGATGCGCAGACAATGGCGTTGCCGAGCCCCTCGTTCGATCTGCAAAATATGGCGAAGACGAGCCGAGCGAAACTCATTACGTGTACCTCGAGCTTCGATTGTAAGAATTGTGTAGAACCGCGAGTCACCTGGAGAGCTGGAGATCCGTTCTGGGCAACGGAAGTGCGTAGTTTCTCTAGACGGATCGTCTATTGGCTCTTTCGCAGTCATCGCAGCCAATCATTTTTCGTTAAATTAGAGCAAAATATTTAAATATAAAACACGTTGTTTCTAATTTAATCTTATTTTTTTCATGACGAGCAATAAATATGAATAATTCTACTAAGGGCAGATGATAAAAATTATGTATGTATAAACTGCAGAATTTTTGTTTTAAGCAAATATTGTCGTCAGCTGCGTATGTGCCCAAATAAGTAACATTTTTAATTTTGTGGCGTTTTTGATATAAAATCGCGTTTTCTGCCTTAGATTTTTGTGCGTACTTTAATTCTAGACCAAAAACTTGCAATTCTGTAAAGCCAATTAAAAGATCCATCGAAAAACGATAATGTCGGTAAATCATACGGCTGCAGGCACTCACAAATACGCACATGTGGTGCAACTTTGCATCATTTGTGATGTCTGTGTACGCAACTTCAGGGCAATACAACGCCATCTCACAGCATATTTTACATCGATTCTTCGTTGTGTTCTCCATCGACTCCATCGTGTTTCATTTCACCGCGACAGTAATCGTCAGCTTCACTCGATAAATCGGAAAAATGGCCACCCGTCTGCTAAAAATTAGCAGCGCCCTGCGCACATATTCTAATAAAACCAGCCTCGTAAAGGTAAAACCGATTACATTTCACAATGTGCAGTCATCGTATCGTAATAGCGGTTTTTAGCTTCACAGTCGATCCATTCATAGTTGCGCACGAGCTAACCTAGAGATATGTCTCTTTCGTAGCCTCCCCTTACGTAATAAGAGAAAAAATAATAATTTTAGGATATACAATGTGCAAAAACTATCTAAACAATTATTTTACGTTATTTTGTTGTCAGATTCAATAAAATTTGAAATGCATTCGAATACATATTTACCTTACTTGGTCAATATTTTTTTTGACAGATGTGTGATGTGTGATTTGATGTATGTGATTCCTCATAAACAAGAACATTTAATAGTACACATATATACCTTGTCATTAATTAATTAGGAATATTAATGTAACAAATGGCATTTATTGAAATTTAAGATTCATGTCTTATGCCATATAAAGTTTTATTTAGTAAAATGTCAGATGTATTCAGATGTTTAGTAGAAATGTAATGTATTAAAAGATATTTAGATTTATTAATAAAAGAATTATAATTTTGTTATAATAAATTAAATGTGTACAAATTATTGTATATTTTTAGTGGGAGGTATATACTTAAGCTTTTTTAATGCATTCAGGTATCAAAACAATGGCAGTCAACCGCCGCTTCCTTGAAAGAAACACTTATCAATCAACCAGCTACCAGAGTTACAACTTTGGATAGTGGAATGAGAGTTGCCAGCGAAGATAGCGGAGCTGCAACAGCTACTGTTGGTCTTTGGATAGACTCAGGCAGTCGATATGAAACAGACGAGAACAATGGTGTTGCTCATTTCATGGAGCATATGGCTTTTAAGGTAAACTAAATAGCGTCACTAATGAGGAATAATAATTAGTTGGGTTAGTGACTTTTGGTATAGTTCTTCAAGTTCCGCGCAGTAATTTGCTTGTAATCACGTTGGAGCAAATTAAATTTTGAGATAATAAAACTATAATATATGATTCTATAAGTTGTATAATTTTATGTTTAGCCTTTTAAATAAGTCATTGTCATATCTTCTACTGATATTAGAATCTTTTGTTTATAGGGAACCGCTAAACGATCTCAAACTGATTTGGAATTAGAAATAGAGAATATGGGAGCACATCTGAATGCTTACACAAGTCGAGAACAAACAGTGTTTTATGCAAAATGCTTGTCGCAAGATGTACCGAAAGCTATTGAGATTCTAAGTGATATTATAAAAAATTCAAAGCTGGGCGAAAATGAGATTGAAAGGGAACGTGGTGTTATCTTACGCGAAATGCAGGAAGTTGAAACGAATTTGCAAGAAGTTGTATTTGATCACTTGCATGCTGCTGCGTATCAAGGAACATCTTTAGGACGAACGATACTGGGGCCTACTAAAAATATCAAAAGTATTTCGCGAGACGATCTTGTTCAGTATGTGAAAAATCATTATGGTCCGTCCAGGTAAGAGTCTTGTCGATTGGTCATTACTTTATGTAGCTATAATCTACTATCAGTGATCGAAAAGTGCAAATATCAATTTCTTTAGATTCGTATTGGCTGGTGCTGGTGGTGTAGATCACAATCAGTTAATCGAACTTGCTGATAAGCATTTCGGCAAAATGACAGGACCGGAATATGATGCCATTCCGGACTACGTTAAATCTTGTCGCTATACAGGCTCCGAAATAAGAGTACGTGACGATTCGATTCCTCTCGCCCATATTGCGATTGCTATTGAAGGTATTAGAAATTAATGTTCTAGAAGAATTGATTGTAACGTTTTATGAAATAATCAATAAATATTTTGGTTATAGGTGCTGGATGGCCTGAGGCAGACAACATTCCTCTGATGGTCGCAAATACCCTCATAGGAGGATGGGATCGTAGTCAAGGAGGAGGCGTAAATAACGCAAGCAGTTTAGCTAAAGCTTGTGCAGAACAAGGATTATGCCATAGCTACCAGAGTTTCAATACATGTTATAAAGTATGTATTAAATAAATGTTGCTGATTCGCGTGTGAAAACATGTTTATAACAATTAATGCACGTATCAAATCGATTCGAAAAAAATAATAAATGTATCATTTTCTAATTTTGTAGGATACAGGACTTTGGGGTATATACTTTGTTTGTGATCCTATGCAGTGTGACGATATGACAGCGCATATTCAACATGAATGGATGAAACTGTGCACATCGGTTACTGAGAAAGATGTGGCACGTGCAAAGAATATTCTTAAAACCAACATGTTCTTACAGTTGGACGGGACTACTGCCGTTTGTGAAGATATTGGCCGTCAAATGTTATGTTATAATCGCCGTGTTCCACTCCATGAGCTCGAGATGAGGATAGATGTATGTAGTTTCTGTTATATGGATTAAAACACTATTATACAAGAGATTAACGTTTATATCTTTCTATGTATGCGTATATAAGATGCATCAAAGCATAAATATTCAGTACAAAAAGAGTAAATATCCAACAGGATTTATTGTAGTGAAATTTTATTTGTTTAAGAAGATATTTAGAAAATATATTAATAAGTAATTATGTAATTTTTATTTTTCAGAGCGTAACTGCTGAAACTATTCAAAATGTTGGTATGAAATACATTTTCGATCACTGTCCAGTGATCGCGGCAGTTGGTCCGGTTGAAAATTTACCGGATTACAATAATATTCGTGGAAGTATGTATTGGCTCAGGGTGTAACCATCTTCAAGCATCAGTTATTAATAAATTTTAGCATATTAATTAGAAATAAAATAGAACTACGATACGCATATGTCTGCTCCACTTCTGATAAAATATCCGTACAAATTGATAATACTAATAAATTCGATTTCTAATAACAATTATAAAAATGGTGTCTTTGTCTATGTGAGATTGTAGTTTTATTTTGCCAAACATTTACCAAATGTTCATCGATGTATATTGCCTGGCGAAAATAAACACAGTTGAAAATATGTTTTGGATAGTTCCCCAATATTATATAATTTAAGAAATAAATATTAATGTAAGCTTGTAGAATTGTTCTCAAATTTATTCTATAATATTAGAATGTATATCTTATCGCTAAATTAATTTTTTTATATATATTTAGAATATTATGAATTCGTGTCTATAAAACTGTAAAATAATATAAAAAGAAAATGAATATTCCAAAACAAATGCACGATTATAAAAGATGATAGCAACAAGATAAAAATAATTTCTATACAAAAGCAATTTTTATTTGATTTATCAAAATGGCATGTATAAGCAATAAATAGATAATATATTTTTATTTACATAGTACACGTACAATTTCTGATGTCATGAATTCTAGAAATAGATACAAAGGAAGCAGGAATATTTCAATAGCTATTTGTACAACTTCTCTAGACTGTAATTTACAGAAAAATACATGACTATTTATTGTACTATATGAACTGTACTATGATAATTCTAAATATGTTTAAAATAAAATTTAAACCTTAAGTACAGACATAAATTTCAATAAAATAATTAAACGTGCTTTGTAATTACATCATTAATCGATAAATATTATTTACTTGCTTAAGAAATACAGAAATGAAAATAGGATATGATCGATATTATCATATTAAAAAGCAAAGTAGAATATAAATAGGTATGGTAGAATTTGAGGGATTACATGTCTGTACTGGAGAATTGAATCGTAAAATTACGTAATTTATATTTATCTATTAATGTATAATATAAAATAATTAATGACAATTTATTACCAGCGTAATACTCTTTGGCATAAATGAGATTGTGCAAATCTGAAATTGACCTCCTTTTCTTTACCTATATATATATATATATATAGATTATAAAAAGATACAAAATGTTTTGTTTCGTTAATTCTATATTATATTAATTAAAGTTTTGTCAGCTCAAACATTAAGTGATGAATTGTTAAATAAATAAGCTAATAAAATAAAAATGTTGGAGTTAAAATATAGATATATTTTAGTGTAGAAAGAGAAATGGGTATAGAAATATGTATTTCCTGCATATATTTACAAAAATTTGTGGCAATGTTTGTTTGCCTTATATTCTTCGAATATCCATTCTTGCACACATTATTCTTTTAATTTTATTATCTTATTATTATTATGTATGTTGCGCAGATCTAAATAAGCTTTATATTTCAAGGGGAATAAATGTTCGAACTACTAATTGTTAATTACAAATTTTCTATCATTTTGTAATCATGAAATTTTTGCACATTTCTTGGGTAATTAATATTTATAGTATCATATTTCACAAAGAAGGTAAATGTCTTCATACATCTGATAAATTCAAATAAGATCTATATATAGAAAATAAAAAATACGAAAATTACTTAATTAATTTTTAGAAAAGTGAACAATGTTATATACAATTATCTAATACAATGTCTTACAACGCGAGAAAGATACTCAACTAAAGAACTAGAAGAAATAAAATATTTGAGATTCAACGAAACATTTCCAATCTAAATGTAAAATGTTTATCATAACAAAGAAATTTGAGATTCAACTTTTGTATTACAATGCCTTAACTAGTATGTAGATATAAATATTGAGTATATATCAATTGTTATATTAATTTTTGAAATAATTAGGCAAAATATATAATAACAGCTTATTAAAAATTGCACCCATGACTATGCTTTAAGCATTCTAATGTAAATTTATATTAGAATAAAAATTTTGTAAAAATAAAATACATCGTATTAGTAACTTTTCTCTCTTGGTAAAAGAGAACTAATTAAATGGTATATAATTAGTAATATGTCACAAACTATATTCTATTCGCACATGAAATGAGCCTAAAGTTTTCTCCTCTTTGTCTGTCTGGAAGTTCGGTTATTTTACAATAAATTGTAATTATTAGTTTTATCAAATATGGCTACAAAATAACTATCTGCCTTGATTGCTCGATGGTGCTGTGCTTTGAGTAGGAGAAATACTATCCTTACAAACTTTAGCAGTCATTTCGGCTAACGGTTCTAATTCCTTAGGATTAATTAAATCAAATTCTGTCACAAAATAGTAAAAATGCTTGTAACATGTATTCACGTGCGCTTCCTAAAATAATAATAACGTACACATTCAAAGATCTCTGTAATGTAGTAAAATATTAAAAGTACTCCAGTTGATATACTTACTGCTCCTATTGCTACAATGCGATCAAAATGATGGATGTACACATGAACGAAAACTCGAAAGAGGCGGGTCAAGATTTTTCTACATAATGGTATAAATGTTTTGGGAAATGGCACATCTGTAATAAAATAATTTATGATTAAATCTTGATATAAAATAAGATAACTCTATATTAGAGTAATCTTATAAAACATTTGTCATTATAAAATAAATGTCAAACCTGTTGACACTGGAAAAACTGTCTCGTTATTTATTTGAGCTTCAATCCAATCCATGAGAAGAGCAACGTATTGTGGCGCTGGTAACGCTGTTGGCTTTTTATATTTTTCACCGTCTGCCCACAAATATTCAAAACGTGCTCCACCGCTCATTGCTGGACAAGACGCTGAATCGCAGTACTCGGACACAGTACCATATATCAGATTTATTCTATTGAAAAAATCCACAACTAAAAAAAAAAGAAAAATATATATTATTATTGTATTCTCTCCAATATTCTCTTCATATAAACAAGATATTCGTTTATAAAATGAGATAAGATTGAAATATTTAGGATATTTTTCTCAAGGTAGGCTCAAGAAAATATCAAAATATTTCTAACAAAACTTTTACATAAATTTAAACTTTTATATTGCTAAATTGCTATTAAATATTTTACGTACCGTGAACGGCAATCCAGTCATTCATATCTTCTCCGGGAGGTAATTTGACGACAGATCTCAGATTGATCCCAGAATTAAGAGACGCTTGAGCTTGCTTGTATAAAGAGTAACGCAATGTTCCGTGAGCAAACTTTTTCTTTGGCCTAAACGTCTGCAATTGCAATACATATGATAATATGCAAACGCATTTCTTTAACAATTGTAAAATACAAGAATACAAATTAATTTCCAGAATATGTTACGCTATGTATATTGTATATTTAAACAACATTAGACAACATTAGATAACAATTATGGAAAAGACGAGTTATTGTAGATTTTAAACGAAAATTAATTCTAGGTTAGTCTAGTCGCCACAAATCCATCTTTACCTTGCCTTTCTGGAAGAATTCTATAAATCCGCTTAATGTGGTCATCGTGCACGCGATGGGGTTTACTATTTTATTCTCAGTTATATATTCTCGCCAGAAATTCGAGAGAAGAAACACACTTTGCCTACGCGCAGCTCCGAATTTTCATCTTAGAGATCACGCTATGCTCACCGGCATTTTAAGGGAAAAGCACAGGCGAGCTGCGACAAAATACTCGTTTTATTTAATTATGTCGCCGGACACTTTTTGTTTTCAATACACTCCAAATGCGTTGAACACGATGCTCTCAATCATGATCCGAATGGTCGGATGTGTCCTGCAACGTTCTTATGACCCGTGACGGCTGAGCTGTGACCAGAATCACCAAATATGACAGATCGCACTGATCACAGTATTCGCAGTTTGCGATTCGTAAATTGTGATGATGCATTCGTATAGCATCGACAAGGTACTATTGAAGAGTTGAAGCCGATCGATCTTACGTGAAAATTCGCGTAATGCTAGGTCTACAATAATGCGAGTCGTAAAGTCGTGAGTCGTAAGAATTGACCAATCACAGTCGATTATTCTCCTCAAATTCTATTGTGATTGGTCAATTCTTACGACTCACGACTTTACGACTCGCATTGTAGACCTAACATTACAATTAAACAATTATAAATTTTGTGATTTATTATTATACGGATGTTTCGCAGATGCATATGCATATATCTAGACGACATAATAATATACAAATTTTTCGTTTAAATTTTGCTATATTTATCGACATTTGATTTTCTTTGATTTTTCCATGCTGGTGATGAGATTAAGGGCCCGGACACACACTTTTTCGTAACAGTAACAGTAGGATTTCGACCAATCGTGTTACTCGATTCGGGAACGTACGGTCGTATTCGAATCGAGCAACGCGATTGGTCGATATTCTACTGTTACTGTTACGAAAAAGTGTGTATCTGGGGCTTTAAGGCCATTGCACGTAACAAAGTTTTAGTCATAATCGTAAGGCCGTAAGGAAATAGACCAATCACAGTCGATTATTCTCTTTGAGCTCGAAGAATAAAGCCCCTTGCACAATGCCAGGCAACAGGCAATAGGAACAGGGAATAGAAATCAGAAATCATGTATAAATGCAGAATAAACAGTGACACAGGCAATAGACACAGAGTTTCCGTCACGTTGGAAATTCTGTGCCTATTGCCTATTGCCAACCAAATAGCATTTGAATTTTTTAGGTTGTAATTAACGATTTTTT